GTCTGTCTGTGCAGGCACGGGGTGTGCTGGAGCCTGGCCTCCCATCCTGCCCGTGCCAGCCCCCAGCAGGCCCCACAGGGCGGCGGGTGTGCGTTGGCAGGGCCGGGGGCCAGGACGCTGCGCCTGGGTGCCGATCGGTCGCTAACACCCTGCTCCGGCTCTGCCACGCTTTGGACTCATGAATAAAATGACACCGATGCAACAAGGATTTGTGGGGTGAAAACAGCCTGGTAGTACACTGATCCACAGCTTGGAGGCAGGGTAGCCCGTCTTGTTGATGGCGGCTTCGGAAATACCTGACAGTGGTCTCTTTTCAAGTCTACCCTGGGCGTTCATCTCCTAGGCCCTTCGCCATCCACAGAGCATTATAAAAACCCAACTCTGTTAGGCTGCAACTAGAGACATCTCAGGGAGGTGAAGGCACAAGAAAAGCCAGGCGAGTGCATCGTCTCCACCCGTTGGAGGGCAGCAAAGCATACGCGAGCCAGTCCGTACCGACTGCTGCCCTGGCAGAGTGATCAAAACAATGATATTAAAAGCAAAAATATGCCAGACTGGCTCAGGCTGCATACTGGTGTAACCACAGGCCACGTCTTAATTAGAGTTGCAGAAAACTGTTATGCAGCCCCAGAGGCTAACACACTCACCAGAGCAATGCAGGCTTTCTGCTTTTCGTCTGCCTTCTCCTCACAGAGAACTGTGGGGCTCTAACTTCATTGTCATGGCGAGGAAGGCTGAAACAAAAAACGGAGAGGAAGAAGGGTTGGAACGCAGAGGCATTGCTTCCCAATACTTAATTGTGATGCAAATTCACCCAGTTACCCAGACAGAGCTGTTGTCGCCTATGACATTGGGATAATCAATCTTCTAAATACCAATTAGGTTTGAAAAAATGTCTCAAGAGGGGTACCGTCTAAAAAAGAAAAACCTCCCTTCCTTCAAATCTTTAGATTTTGTGCTTGCAAATCTCTAGCAGGTTCAGCTTTAGTCTTCATTTTCCCTTTCCCTGTTCTATTTTGATCTGTGAAGATAAGCCAAATTCTGGCTCTTGGTGCAGCTGCTCTGAACAATCCTGTCTTGATTTTTCTATTTCATTAATCTTGACCCGATGAAGCTGTGCTAAAGAGCTTCCTCCCTTTTTTATAACCATTCAATTTATTTGTGTTCAGCCTGGACTTCTGACAACATCAGACTTGGTCACCACTGAAAATGTAGCAATAGGTTTCACTGTATCTTTTAGCACAATTTCGTTTTTCTTGTAACAAGAATTAAAATGTGAGATGGGGTTGTAACAGCAACAGCAAAGGCTCTGCTCTTTGTTGGGCAGGCACAGCTAGATAAATAAACAGACTTAGGTAACTTTCCAATGATCTCTAAGCTGAGGAGGCCCAAAAATCAGATTTATTTCCATAAATTCCACATGATAGATAAAATAAAGTGTAACTCCCTGTGTAATGGTCCTTTGTACAGGGTCCTTGTGCCCTCAGGGTACAGCGTTCTTTTCTGTATGCCATAAAGTGTCATGGACAGATCTTGGGGTAAATGGAAAGGCTTGCAGTGACTTCATTGGAATATGGACCTCAATAATGCCATAATTGCATCTTTTGAGTTGTATTCCTCATTTCAGGAGAAGTGGAAGCCAACTGTCGGGGACTTAACCCAAGCCTTCCGGAGTCAGTATCAATTTTTGCACTGTTTTCTGTGGCTCACACCTTGGATGAGCTCTGTTTTCAACCCATTTTGTTGCCTGGCAGCTCCAATGCAGAGATCACTTCCACCCTGATCCATCATGAAATGATTCCTGCCCTGAAGTTTGCAATCTAGATTCTGGAATGAGAAAGACTGCCAGGCATAGCAGCACTATCCTCCTCTGTATGTGTTTACTCTCCTTACTTACTTGTTGTCTTGGTTGTATCCCGTCTCCTTGGAGTTATTCAGCCCCCCTTCATCTATTGCTTGAGATGTAGTAGGCATGAAGAACCATTCAGTAGGCAGCTGCAAATTCCCAATTATCATCTGTGGAAGTGAGACTCTGTGCACTGTGAAATGAAAAAGTCACAGACCTGTTACGGTAGCCATTGCGTTAGAGGTGGCAGCAGACCATTGCATCCCATCAAACAAGCTGATATGTTTTGCAAGGTATAGTGCCTTTTCAGCAATCACATATAACATTAAATAGTGATGTTTTAAACATGCCCACTATCGCATCCATTGGTGACATCCAGAAGGTACAGCCTAGCCAAGATCCTATTCCATCTCTCCTCTGAACGATTCCTCTTCTCAGCATTTAATAGTTTAAAACATACAGGGAGACAGGAAGAAATTTTTCTTGAAAATTATGTTCGTGTCATTTTTAATATTGTTTTATTAAGATTGGCAACGTTAACATCAACATTTTTAGCTCACTTACCAAGCTGCTATTTCATCCCAACCAGACCCAGGGTGAACACAGGTAATACAGGTGGGAGTAATGGAAGACGCTCCTGTTAATGGTCACCTTCTTGGCGATGTAGTTAGCGTCGTTCCTTGTTTAAGCAGGAGGAAGAAGAAAGACTTTGTGGTCTGTGGAACTTGTAGAGGACAAGACAGTCTAGTGGTGAAAATGCTGATGTTCTGGTAAGAAAAAAACACAGCTCCCTCATGGTCTTTATAGGAAAAAGTAAAAAAAAAATGGTGGCTGGTCCTCTCTACAGTTTCATCCATGAAAGCTCTCGTAACAGTCTGTCTGTAGAATAAGGGACTATTCTAACTAAGTATCTGATTAATACTAAAGTTTTTACCAGACTTCTCTTTTCCGGTGTCATGATTTTGGTCACATCACTCAAAGACTCTGGTCAGAATATTCAAGTAAGCTAGTCATTTTGGGTACTTCGATTTTTGAGAAACTTCATGAGAGGCTTGATTTTCAGAGAGTGCCTACTGTTCCCTCTTTGAAAATCAGGCTGCGGAGGACTTTCTTGGTTTCTACATGGGTACACATTATGAAGCCCAGGCAAGGACAGGCGCAGTACACCCTGACCCACAGTGAAGTTTGCTTGGGACAGTGCCATCACCCATCTTCTCTTCTGAAAGTCTCAAGGTATCTGCAGCTATTACAGTCAAGAGAAATTAATCTATGGGAGAATGAAGTGGGGTTTTCTGACTCACGTATCATCCGTGGAACAACTAATTAAGTCTGAGTCATCGAGCCGTTACCTGGGAAGGTACAAAGAAAATGAGAACAATTGCACTGTAAGTGCGTCATGCAGTCCTCGATTTGGGCCAGGATATTAAATTTCCAATCGCAGCTGTGTCTGCGATGCTAGCACTGGGAAGAAATGTTTTGTTTCATTTTTATATTTAGACTGAGCAAATCTGATTTGGAATTGTTGGAAAACAAAAAGCCCAGGAACTTATAATATACTTTTAAAAGCTAAAACTTTTCCAAATAGAATCACTCTTCAAGATTTCTTTGATGTTCAAAGACCAAAATAATATAGGCTGTTGGATCACTGGCTGTCTTGGAACAAATCCTTACAAAGGGGCAGAGATGTGTATATTTTCACTGTGGCCTTTTTTTAGGCAAAATATATGGATTTAGACTTTACCTTTTTTAGGCAAAATATACGGATTTAGAGTTTACTTTCTATGTGTCATAATGGTATGGCACATCCTTCAGTTAAAGTAGTTGTAAGCACGCGCAGTTAGGTTCTCCAATGGAGCCAGATAATCCGAAACAGTAACGGACTTCTCATAGGTACACCTCACTCCCAAGAGAAAGGCGGTCTAAGGTGGAGGAGGTTCTTTGGCTTTTCTTCTTCTGTGTCAATTTTTGTGAAAGAGAATTGAAAAGGCAGAGAAGTCGTGAGAAGTGTAAGAGAAAATACCAGTGATGTAGAGGTAGAAAAGACAGAAAGGTAGAGATAGAAGGTGAGCACTTGAAGTGTGACCTTGAGCAGAACTAAGCAAAAAGGAAAATGGGCTGAAGAGTGAGTGGAAAGACATGTGAAGTACTGAACAAAGGCCTTCCCACTTACCTGATTCCTGTTTTACTCAGGTTAATAGGACTTTGCCTTTTCTGTGAATTACAATCAACAATTAATTCACTTCATTAACTTTAAAATAATCTACAGCCCTTTTTTGGTGAAAAAAATTGGATGAAAAATGTTAATTTTTATAAATCCTCCATCTTCTGCTTACACTAATGTCCCATTGTGACACTAATAACACCCCTTTAAGATATCCAGGACCACTTACAAGCTGCTGTACAATGCGGCTTGCCTGCAGAAAAAATTAGCTGTAGACAGTCTGGGTAGACACCAAGTTTAACTTGATGAATTTATACATGTACCCTTTGAAACAGTCCCACAGAGCAATGTTTTTTAGGAATTTTAGCCTGACAGCAAGTTAACGCTACATGAAAAGCAAACTTTGCTACTGTTCAGTCTACTCCCTCCATCTTCTGACTACTTCTAAGCAGTGGATTCTGGCATAATCCGAAACTGCCATTAGAACAACACATCTGAGAATCAAGTCTTGCTTACACCAAGGCAAACACTTTGACAAATGGTGGAAGAGCACCATCTGGTGACACATGGCACATCACTATATTCTGCTGCCATCAGAAAATATATTCATGGTGTAGAGCCTGTATTTTGGAAAGCCTGTGTTGATGTGTTTTAATATGGTTTAATCCATTATTCAATTATGCATAAGAAGTAAGAGTGAACTCGCTGAAAACAAATCTGAGCTGACAGTGACCCTACCTCTACTGTCCCTTAAATCACTAAGAAGTTCTTGTAATTTGAATCAAACATTTTCTGAATTGTTCCGAGCCATTTTTTAGAAGGCTTCGGAGCAGATTTTATGGGTCCCATGAAATGCAGTCCCAAGTTTTATTGCAGTGGACATTTCAAGGTTTCTTCTGTGTGTGATCCAAGTATTTTCTTACAGCGTTCAAGAAAGTTGGCTTAGCTGTCTTTTCAAAGATTTTTCCACGTTCCTTTTTGCAATTATTAAGAAAAATTAATTACCTTTTACCATTCTAGCTATCTGGAGGTAAGGAAAAAGGATGGCTCTTAACCTGACTATTATTTGCAAATCATAGCTAATTTCAGCACAAATTGAACCTGAATATGCTAACAAATAAAATACATGATTTTTTGAATAGTTTCTTTTCCACAATGATGATCGCACCCATTTTATTAAAATTCAAGGGCAAATTAATGTGAGTTTAGTTAGGAATTAATAAAAGCAGTTAGTAATTATAATAAGCTTAGAAAGCACTGTCTTAGTCTGGAGACAACTAGTTTTCTAAGGCTGTGGCTTGTGCAGACTAACTCTCTCACAAGTCAAAA